GATTCGATTTTTACTGTTTCTAAATTATTTTCTAATGCTTACTATGATATCTATTAGTAATGTTTTGACTTCCCTGCTTCATAAAAAAAAACATTATTACCGTAATCCAACACCAAATTCGAAAATTCATAACAATACTTTGCACATATGGCGTTCGTGACCAACTATAAAACGCTTACCCCCCATAGTGTTATATATCAAAATGTACCTGTTCATATAGGGGTTCGATTGATCTACATCAAATTATAGGGAGTCAGGTTACTTTTTGAGATATCAGCGTCCATTTATTGTGACTCGCGTTTGCTACCACTTCCTCAATTCTGATATGATGGGCAAACGCGTAGTAAACATGCTCACGTCGGAACTATTTTTGACCTACATCGTTATTTTCGTAATTCAAATGAAAGTTGAACTCCTCCTCTTTATTTTGATACCAAATAGTGGCATACTAGGTACCCTAGAAGCCAACTATGGCGTTATTTAGAACAATACCACGAATTTTTAAATGGACTATATAGGGGTCATACCTTTTGGCGGATGGATATGGAACCTCATACCTTATCACCATTTACTCGACTCGAAAATTCACTTCCGGTCTGTCATAATAAAGATGAGCTGAAAGTTGTCGTGAACACCTTTCAATCCTCAGTCTAAATATCGCTTTTCAAGGTTCAACAGGTGACTTTGAATGGACTTTATGCATAGTTCGAAAATAGAATCACCAGAGAAGGTTTTAAACCATGAAATCGACTCAAAAACCTGAGAAACCATTTTGTTGGCGGTATATTACAGTATGCCTTTCATATCATTTATTCTGTTTTGTTCAAGCATATTCTTAATAAAACATTTCCATTTTCACCTTATCACTGTGAATCTTATGTAATATGTTTTTTTAAACAAGTGCATCAATTTTAGCCATTTGTGTCTCATTTATACCTACATAGCTCAACAAGTTATGTAAAATCTGAATATTATTCAATTGGAATCTTCTGAATTTATTGCAGCACTTAAACAGAAGTTCCTGAGCAGTTTTTTAAGTTGTCAGAAAGAGCTGTTCAACAATAGAGATTAAATCAAGGACGGTATATGAGGCAAGTCAGCTATTAATCTAGAGACTCCCAAGTGTATCTTCGATTGCTATGGCAACAAATCCCTTTATTTTCCTTCCTCATGGTTGTAATAACAACTTTTGCATTTACAATCATAAAAAATAATTATTTCAGTTATTTTGTCAAGATATTAGTTATCATAGAATGACTAATATAAGTTTAAGCATCAATTGATGAGACTAGTTCCAGTCTCTTCCATCTTACGATGCAAGAAGTTAAAGATGTTAATTTATACAAAATGGTACCTGTTTCCCCGTGACAGATTTTGCACTTATTTTGTAGCTGAGATCTTCATCTTTCTATTTCTACTTGTTTGGTTCGAGTAAATAACCTATGGATGCAGTTATTTGACTTTCAATACGGCGAATACTCTTGTGTGTCCAAATATCATTGTAATGATGACGTCACATTTCTGGAACCACGGGAGCAACATTCAGATTTGGAGAGAGTCCGGCGATAAAATATCACTGTTTTGGCCTCTTATCAATGCAGTATTGCTTGAATAACGGCCATTGGTGATAAAAAAGGTAAAGAATAACAAGACCCTTCGAATGAGGTATGATTTGTCTCATATTTTTCAGAAATGGCTCAAGAATCGTCACTTTAAAATTTGAAATTTTCTGAGGTGTCTTATTTTGAGGAAATATTATTGAGCTACTGATCCTACTACAAAAGAATCTGGCCGGGATCTATGATTACAGTACATATAATATGTTCAATATGGCAAACATCAGCGATTCTTATTCCCGGGTTCTGGGAAATGGCTTTATAAATCGGCGAGAGGGTGTGATTTGAATGAAGACAATTTAAGGAGGGGAAATGTGTCCAAGTATGCCAGTAAGAGAGCAGATATGGGGACTTTAGACAAGAACTATGACGGAGAATCAACTAAAAATGTGAGTTCTGGAATGAAGACCCGTTGCCATTGACTGGAGATTCCAGCGATCCTATTATCATACTCAGTTTGAATCTAGACGCGGAAAACAGGTTTTCTGCAAAGTTATCAAATTTAGAAAATATGGATCTTGTTTTTGAGTGGCTTAACAAGCATTTAGATACAAGATTTGGCACTATCTCTTTACATGCACTGGACTTGCAGTAAATTGGCCATTGCAAAATCAGATCGTCAAATTAATCGCTTCGTTTCTAAACATATGCTTCATATCTTCTTCCAAAACTTTAGGATTCAATAGAGATAAGTTATAACTTGTACAGGAAAAAATGGCAGATCCTACCTTAATTTAGAATCGCTGATTTCTCTGGACAAATTCCGAGAAGAAATTGTTCAACATCGCGATCACCTCAGACAACATGTCGCGTGCATGTCACTCTGAACTCACGTGATAAAATACGGCATCTTGATTGGTTACTACTCGTGTTGTCATGACGCGAAAAGCAGTAGTAAACACTGAATATGTTAATGAACTACCATATATGGAACAATTGTCTTTCTGATTGGTTAACTTTACACGCCTCCTAAATGAATATAGTAGTCGTAGTAAATGATTCATTGATAACTCTGAAAGTGGGCGTGACCAGCTTCATTTTGACACCAAATTCAAGATGTTTCAAATCAAAATGGCCTCGCAAGACGAGGTTGAAATATCGGCAATTTGATACTGATATGGTCTACGATAGATCAAAATTGCCTGCCCCGCGTCACATGTCACGTGAGCCTATATTTGTTGAAAAATGAAAGAGATAGTGACACTTTTTAATCTTAGTTTATACCAATATTACAAACACATATCTATTTTTTTCATTGTATATTTATTTCTTCATTATACGTACATTTGTTTTATACTACATTTATTTATTTTTGCAAAACCTTTGCTATTAGATCTTTAAAAGCACATTTAAGTTCTGTTCATCATCAAAAAATAAACTCAGATCCATCATAAATCGATTATTATACAATGTATAATGACCACTGTGGTTTAACTAACTTACAAACTTAAAATAACATTTAGTAAAAATATCATATGGTATGCATCTGACATACATAAAATAATCAATATGTAAAGAACAGAACACAAGTGGGCCATGGGGTAGAATGTAATTCAAAATATAACGTCATTGATGCGAGAATGAAAAAGACTTGTATATAATTCCTAAATTATCCCTTCTAGTAATGAACCTCGTGAACTCTTATTCAAACTCTCCTGATATTTTGATTTGAACAAACATTGTATGCAAGCATCACCTTGTATGTTTGTATTTACATTATTATGTCATTATATTGGCAAGAGTTTGGCATACTTGCCCTCTTGATCTGAAAATAACCTCCAAACTTTGTGTATATAATACTGAGCCCACATTGCACACTCTTTCCAATGGTTTGAGTTCCCTTCATATACAGGAATTATAACTAGTCCACTAGCTTCCGGGCTTCAAGGTATTCATCGCCTTTCTCTTTGAATACCTTGGATATCAAGACTCAAGATGTAGGGCATATTGTTCCACAAACTCTGGCATATACAACAGCTACTACAGCTGTATAGGACATTTATACCTAGGGCAATAGGGGAAAAGGAAAGCCACCTCTAGACCTAGGGCATTAAGGGTAAGGAGAGGGACCTCTATGCCAAGGGCCATAAGGGCAAATGATAGGGGACTCTACCCCAATACCTAGGGCAATAGAGGCAAAGGATATGGACACAGGGTCCCATAAAATAGGTATAAAATCAATACCATCATTCATAGAATTGATCTCTGAACTTGAGAACAAATTCCTTACTATTTCACACAATATTACCATTCCCAATTGCTTCTTTCTATACCAGTTCAACCATTCAAAAACATCAAATAGAACTTCATAAGACATTGATTGACCAAGTATCACTATACAAAACCTGTGCCAAACAAAACCAGCATTGCCAATATTAAACCAATTTAAAGGACCTTAGGAAACTGTAAATAAAAATATCAATAGTGGAAATCCTGTAAATATGTAAACATGACCTTGTTGGCCAGTCAACTTTGAATTTTTCCAAACAAAACTCATATCTAGTAATATAACATCTAGAATTCTATAAGTGTTAATGGGTGCAACCATTTAGCAAACAGAGTCCAGGGCTCTCACCAGGAAATATTTAGGGAAACATCTGCATAATTTTATTTATATTTATTTATTTATTTATTTTAGTTATATTTTATCCTTTTTACATATACTATATTATTGTATATTCAGTTAAGTTTAGACTGTGGGAACAATCATGATTTGCCAACACGTTGTGGTAAGAGCTAAATCAATGGTGGTGCTGCGCCAGTCTAAAAGCCGAGTAAGAGCCCTGGAGTCTAATGCTCCAATAACTATCTGACATACAAGAACATATGAAACAAGTTCATTTAGTAAATGCAATGTTTCCAAGAGATCCTTCTTACATTTGTTAATGATGCTTTGATGCAAGTACCTATCAGCCTGGAGCTACAATTGGTAGACCTGATATTGAAAGCACTGAAGCAACCAAGCACTGTACCCAGTTGAGACTTACTGAGAATAAATATTCACCCTATTGGAAATTGGCATTTGGCCATCTCTGCCTTGCAGGGAATATGAATAGGATTGATAGAATGGTGTGCACGATTAAAATTTGGAAAATCACTGGTATCAACACTGTACCAGTATTTTATATTGTAAACAGAATCGGCTATTATCTTGCACCCTTTTTTAAACAGACTTCAGGCAAAAATTCTATAAACTATGTATCAAAGTAACGATTGACTTTCATAATGGTTTGGACATTCTGTTTTTTAAAACAACAGTACCTTTTGTGCAGAAGTATAACTTTAAGATTGAGTACAATCAATTTTGTCATATATTAAATCTCCCCATTAGTTTCATCTAATATAGGTTCTATAAAAATATAAAATAAAAAAAATGTATCTTACCTGATTTTCTCCGTGCAAATCTGTTAGGTGGTGGTTCTGAAACAGACACAGAAGATGTCATTAGCTTTTTATGCATAAACACTTTTTTCAAACAGCTGACCATGATTTCATTGAGTGTTATTTACAAACAGAACCGAGAGAGGTTATTATTTCTGAATTGTAATGTAACATTAAGATCTATACAGGAAGGGACTGCAGTCATACATATGATAAAATATAATATATCGTTAATTGCAAAGTGTTACTTTATATAATTAGATTATTACGCCCTAGGCTATAGCCAGATTTTATATCAGAGAATACAGTGAAACTTATACAAACACCTCTCAATATGAACACATTTTCCCAGTCCCAACTTTGTTATCTCCCATTGACTCACATGTTTAAAATAAAAAACTAAACTTGAAATGTGAACACCTGCTACTCTGAATACTCTTGACTGGTCCAAGTGGTGTTCAGATTAGACAGGTTTAACTGTACTATACAGGGTGTCAAATAAGTCCCGTCCCCCCTGCTACAGCTAAAGCCTTAACAGACGGTACCTAGTGTGATATACCATTGGAAAGATCATCCAAAGTTATGTTAACTCACCAACTCTCAAGTATTTTGGATGAAATTTACCTATATTTTTATGATGTCTTTTATAGTTTACGTGCCCTCCTTTAAGTAGCTTTTTTGCGTCAAAATGACAAGGATATGACCTCAGAAATACGTCAAAAAGTTGATCTTTTTCGCATTCCACTTGTTACAAAATGTTTTTCAGCACTTTCCTTGCCCCTCTATTTTCTACACATCTAACCCTATCCAGAAATTGGTTAAATTCATTGCCATAAACATATTTAGTCATCTTTTGGTCCCTTGACCTTTCTTATACCCGATTCTTAAAATCCTGCCAAATATGCCAAATTGCCATGTTTCTAGGCATATGGTCACCTCAATTGATACAATGTAAAAATTTGTGAGATTGATTGACATGTGTCAGATATATGCCAATCAACGTAACTTTGGAAGACCTTTCCAATGATATATCACACTTGGTACCAAATATCTTGGTTTTGGCTGTAGAGGGGGGGACGGGACTTATTTGACACCCTGTATATTGACCTGGCTTTAAACCTGACTTTTATACATCCTGTAACAAGTTATACCATTCTCCCTTCAAAGTGATCTCCCAGCATTAAAGAAAAAGATCCTGGGGAGAACAATTTGCTAGTCACTATACTATTAAAAATAACATTAAACTGTTATGGTACACTTGCTGTAATATCTCTAGCTTTGAAGCAATTCAGCACTGCACTCATTAAGATCAAAAAAGGGTTAAACCCATTTGAAAATGAGAAAATCAGCAATATTTTGCATACTTTGCCCAACTGAAAGAAATATACCGTAACACTAACAAGTGTTCCTAATATAAGGCAGAAACATTTAGGGAGAGTAGATATTCCAAGTAGTACTAATACATCAAGTTTATATTTGCTTTGCAATGATTACATTTACCTTGATTACGCATTTTATTTATTTCAGCCAATATCTAGCTTTTTACCCAGACGAATACACCTATATCATTTGGACAAATACCATATTCTCTCTAATTAACGCATAGTGCAACTCCCAAATTCTCCTGGAGATGTCTGAAAGATAAATATATGGGCGATAATAGGGTATTTCATGATTTTCCTTTTTAAAACTGGAATCACCCCGACTAGATAAGGTGTGAGGTTCTATATCCATCCGCCAAAAGGTATGACCCCTATATAGTCCATTTAAAAACCTCTGATTTTGTTCTAAATAATGTCATAGTTGGCGTCTAGGGTAGTGGTGGGACTCGTGTGAATTATCCTACTCGAGTAGAGGCTCTTGAACACTCGATTTATTCGCGATTAAAATGAATGATTTTGGAAAAAAAGTTCAGAAAAACTTTCTTCGGAAAGTTACAAACTTTCACTTCCGGTAGCAATGTTTTCAAGTGTTCTCGGCTCAACCTACCTTGTATAACTCCAACATACCCATCAAATTATTCAAATAGAATAACTCAATACACTTTATATGTTCTTGTTTTGCATTGAAAAGTAAATAATTAAGCAATTTACGCTAATTGGTTTGACCTCGTTAAATATTGCATTGCACATGCGCAACCGGATGTAATCAATAAATAAAAACAAACACGAGAAAGCCTATCGTATTTGATTTATTATTTCAGTTAAGGTATCAAACTACAATGCTATATATTAAGGAAGGCATCATTGCTAAACATTGTACAGAAATGTTGTACATTGGATGTGTTTTTTTTACGTAAATTGCGGTTGAAAGGTGGGTAAATCACATTTTTTTCATCATTTTTTCATTTTTTTTTCAATTCGAGTCAGAATTTACCAATCGATGAATCGTATTTACAGGGCTTGGCGAGTAGTATTCGAGTCCACGAGTCAATCGTTGCTCCACTAGTCTAGGGTACCTAGTATGCCATTATTTGATATCAAAATAAAGAGGAGGAGTTCAGCTTTCATTTAAATTACGAAAATAGCAATGTAGGTCAAAAAAGTTCTAACGTGAGCATGTTTACAATGCGTGTGCCTGTCATCTCAGAATTGAGCAAATGGTAGCAAACGGGATTTACAATAAATGGACTCTGATATCTCAAAAAGTGACCTAACTCCCTTTAATTTGATGTAGATAAATTGAACCCCTATATGAACAGGTACATTTTGATATATAACACTATGGGGGTAAGCGTTTCATAGTTGGTCACGAACGCCGTATGTGCAAAGTAGTGTTCAGAATATGTTTTATAGTCATATAATACTACTACACATTTATACAGGAATAAATGTTTGTTTGTGTGGGTACAGCTCGAAAATATTTCGGATCTGAAAATCCCATGATTCAATACATTTAGGGGACCGAGACAGTTGAATGAAACTGTTAGTTTTTAATTCATCACTTTAAGGCTATCATGAATGTACTTAGTTTTAAAGACACGTCTGTAATCAGTATTGTGCACAGAAACAGCTCTACCAGTAAGTGAATTTACCCTATTATCGCCCATTCATTTTTTTTAAAAGTAGGGTTTGCGTTTATTACAGTATGTGTGTGTCTATTAGAGAGAATACGGTAATGAGTTTTGCTGAATATTTTACTTCAGTATGAATATTTATGAACAACATGTCAAAGGGAAAGGACCGAAAAGTATTGCAGTATGACGAAAACACCTTAAAATATACCAGCATTAAGGAAACAAACCCCAACTATCCAAAACCATGATCTGAAAAGAAACAATGTCTAATACAGGTGCTAACTTTGACATTACACCAATCGAATTTCATATAAACATTAAATTTATAACCTAGACATAGTAGACCCTAGTAAATGTCCTCCCTTCCACAAGCTCTCAGTCCTACTGGGCTTAGATATAAAGGCGTTACATGACCTTAAAATAAATATTTCAGCAGTGCATGCTTCTCAATTATGCAATAACTTATCCCACTACAACCGTCACCTGTAATCTCCTGTAATCTGAAGTCACCACCCATTAATTAAAATTATTTCACATGGTAGAGAGCAATCACCTGCATGAATCAATCATTTACTCCCTTTACCAAGGTTAAAATAATGTCTTCATTACCAACTTAAAATTTATTTGTAATTTTAGCACTTTATGATTTTGAATAATGGACATTTATCATGCATTGGCCCTTCATCATGATATGTCATATTATTGTTTTAAGGCAAACAAAGAACATGTACAGGTGTCATTATAAATCCTGTGGATAAAAATCACATGAATATCGAGACACTGTTTTTGAGTATTTTAGTTTCCAACTACAAAAAAGGTGGTTGATGATATAGAAATAATTTCATTTATTCCATAGTTAGCATGATATTCATAGGATAACATATGAAAATAAAAATGGTATTTTTGTAATCAGTGGTAAAATATGATATTTTTGACGAATTTTCACTTAACCATAACATACGTTTTTTAGCCATGACATACAACGTCGTATCCGATGGTTTATGGATTTTTGCTACTTCAGACTCAAAATGAGGCTAAGTGTCAGCATCGCCGGATCGTTTGGAAAATTCGAATTAATTCAATTAATTTCAGACGATTCTGATGATGACTTTAACTATGGAATAAAAAGAACATCCTATGATTTACTCGTGATATGATTTTAATCCACTCATGGATATTGATATCTGCACTCTCTCGCTACGCTCGCTCGTGCAGATATCATATCCATTCGTGGATAAAAATCATATCACTCATAAATCATAGGATATCCTCTATTACTGTAAGTTTAATGTAGTTGATATGGAATTGTGTTTTTCTCCTTTTGAAGTTTTAAGTCCCATGAAACAATGTTCCCGGGAATTCTAAGTCACGTTTTGACACTGGACGAAATAAAATTGATGAAATTGTGTATCGCTTTTGCTATTTATCAGTCTAAATCAGCGTTCTAGCGAGTCTAGTATGTCATTGAATGATACCGATACCATCACTTGTGAGGTATAACTTATATTCAACCATTAAACACATATTTTCTCTGCGTATTTCGAAGCAATTTGCTATTCATTTTGATGGCTCAGAAATATCTTGCTCTAGCACAGGCTGGTAGGGGCAATCAATGGTAGGGGCCTGTGTTTAGGGGCAATCTGCATGAGGTTCAGTTTCTTGCGAATGCGCATTCTTAAAATAATGATCACATGATCTCACTTGACCAATAAAAAATTGTTTAAATCAGGTCTTCAGCTAGCAGCCAATCATAGCACGTATACTGATTACTACTCGGAAATTAAGTATTGGATAACTATTTGTCCTATCACATGCAGCGTACTAATTCGATCAGAAATCAACTTCTGGGAACGAAACTTTGAAAGAAAATTTTATTTCTTTTAGAAATAAGATTTCCTTCAATTATTTAGTGGATTCTGATGAAATAAAGAGACTGAAGGTAAGATTTTTATCAAATCATTCATCCAAAGTTGATTTTGTGCATATGACTTGGAGCGCCCAAAAACACAGTTCATTTTTATTT